GCTAGCTTGGAGGCGGCAAAAATCACAACCGCCTTAGCAATCGGGTGATTGCTGTTCTGTTCGAGCTCCATAACGGCGCCCCAAAGATCATCGACGCCTGCGCTATGTGTTACCTCATGATCAGTGATAGAAGGTTCGCCGCCCTTGGTAATAGTGCCGGTTTTATCAAAGACGATGCAGTCAAGCTGGCTGGCCTCTTGGAAGGCTTCACCCCCACCTTTGACGAGGATCCCATGCTGAGCCGCGAGACCACCACCGACAAAAAGGGCCGTCGGCGCTGCGAGTCCGATACCACAGGGGCACGCGACAACAAAAACTGAGATGGCGAATTGCAACGACCAGAAACCCCAGTCTCCCGGAGTGTCGGCCTTCCAGGAGTCGGGCAACCGGCTGGAGACACCAAGGCCCAGCCAAATTACCCAGTCCAACACCGCGATGAGGGTGATGACGGGAACAAAAAAACCCGTAATCAAGTCTGCCGTGCGCTCGATTGGCGCTCGACGGACCTGCCCCTGGCGAACGGTGTTGATGATCTGATCCAACATCGAGTCGCCTGAAAGATGGGTGACACGGACCAAGACCGGGTTTGCCTGGTTGACTGTTCCCGAAAAAACTTCGTCTCCAATGGACTTGGAGACCGGTCTTGATTCCCCAGTCAGACTCGACTCATCAAACTGTGACTCTCCGTCGATCACCGTTCCGTCATACGGAGGTGAAGCACCGTTCGCCACCCGCACCACATCTCCGAACTCCAGTTGGTCGATTGGAACTGTGCTGGAATTCGCAGAGGCGGAGAGGCTACCCGCTCCGGCCGTGTCCACAAGTGTGGCCTCTGTCGGGCGCAGCTTGCCCAGGAGGCTAACTGCATTTCCCGCTTTGGCTTTGCTGTAGGCCTCGAGCAACCGGCCGATCAGTAGGAACATGGTCAAAAAGACAACCGCATCGAAGTACGAGCCGGTATGAGAAGCTTTGGGGCTACCGTGTGGCTGCGCGGCATTGATGGCCAGGATAGCGATGGAGGAGAAGTAGGCGATGCTAGTGCCCAGTGACATAAGCATATCCATACTTCCAAAGCGATAGAATCTACGCAAGATAGGAGTTTTGCTTCCGGGTCGCCAGAGCGCCTTGAGCTCGGTGAGCATGCGGCGGTGGAAAATGTCTGCAGCGAAGAAATAGACAGGACTCGACGTGATGAAGAGCGCCCACTCAGAGCGTGATGCTTCACCTGACCACATGGGCTCCTCGAGGTAAATCCGACCGGGATTGTCGTTGTGGACCAGGGACATATACACAACACCGATGATAAAAGTCGGAATGGCAGCTAGCAGGGCCAAAATCAACCGGCGAGCGATATGCCATTGATGCCGGCGATGCATCGCCTGGGAGCGTTCCTCAAGGCTCGGAGGGTGGTACACTGAAACGGTAAAGGCTTTATCGATATCGGCAATCGTGCTCATGATATGTCGGATGGTAAATTTTGGCGCCTCAGGCAGATAGCTCACAGTAATCTTCGGCTGTGTCTTGCTAGGAGGCGCGGTCACTTTTAATCTGTCCGAGTAGATGGCGAGGGCATCGAGAATCCGCTGTGGACAGTGTGGACAGTGCATCCCCTCCACCTGGATGGTCACCGACCGCTTCGAGCTGGGTTGACTAGATGGGGCTCTGCTCTCGACGTCGCCGAGGGTGGCCGTGTAACCAAGGCTGTTGATAATGCCAGGAATCTCGTCCAGGTGGTCCTTCCCTTGGAACTCCACCATCGCACTAGCGGAGATGAGGTTCACATCCACTGTGGTGATCCACCCGTACTGTTTTAGCGTGTCGGTCACTTTCCCGACGCAGGAGCTACAGGTCATGCCTTGGATGACGTACGAAGCTCGCCACGTATCTTCCAGTCCGGACGCAATCGATGGCTGCTGGAGTCGGATCTCCTCACATTCGATCAACTCCGTGGTATAACCCGTTTCCCTAACCGTCTCGAGCAACTCGTCTATGTGCGACTTATCCAGGAGCATGATAACGGCACTGCTCGTCAAGAGATTGACGTCGGCCGATTGTACCCACGGTCGAGTTTGCAAGACCCCGGTGATCTTGCTCACACAGGAGCTGCATGACATCCCACTGACGGACAATGTGACTCGCACCCGAGTGTCGATGAGGTGGTCATCCATAACGGACACGAGCGCTTCTTCTTTTGTCTGACGGACGTGTCGACCGAGCTGATCTTTTTCGTCGGCGACTGCTTCCTTGTGAACGGTAGAGGACGTCTTCGACGACAGCATATCGAGCTGTGCGGAACATGCGTCGCATTTTGAGAGGTGCAATTCGGACTGAGCAAGGACGTTGTGTTCGAGCTCGCCACGGGAGCTTCTTCTTGGAGCTTCTGCGGCGTTGGCCTCAATATCACCCTCGCTGGCATCGGGAATAACACTGTCAACCTCGAAGGCAACATCCTCTAGAGCGCGTACGATGCGGTCGGCGCTGAGCGTAACGGAGTGCACGATTTCGATCTCATGTCGAAGAATAGATGTCGAAATGGAAAAAGGAGGCGGTTTTAGAGCCGAAAGAGTCTCCTCGACGTTTGTCACGCACGACGGGCAGTGCAAATTGTTGACTAAGATGGTGGTCAGCCTCGACTGAGGCAGCGACAACTTATCACTCGGAGCCATCTCCGGCGGATAGACGAGAGGGTGAGAGAGACCAAAGATACATAAGGTGGTTGTCCGATCTGCGGAGAACAGCTAGCTTTTATAGATCTCGAGCCTTGGTTCAGGGTTGTGACAGGGTGACTGATTTCGAACGTTCTAGGGTCTGCAAATGTATTACAAACTTCCACCACGCTACCGCACTAATCGCGCATGTTCCTAGGTTCGCCACTCCCTGCCAGAGATGACAGGTGCTGATTCGAGATCCATGAAGAACTGGATGCGTTATTTGTGCGGCTGAGCCAACGCGGGAAGAAAGCTAAATCGAGGCGCCACTTCACCACGATCTTACCTTAGAGCGGGGGGGCAACGCATACAGAGAAAGGTAATATGGCGAAAATAACGCACTTCAGGCCATAGTAAAAAAAGACATATCATGAAACCTCAAAAAAAATTGCTATCTCATTTTTAGTATTCAATATGTCGTGTCAAAGTTGTGAGTTCCCCGACGACGAAAGTTCTCTCCGCACGCGCCTTTTGATTAACTTCGACAGTTATACCCAGGTCTGCTTATTGTCCAGTTCGTGTTGTTGGTTACCAGTATGCTCATTCATTTGTCATGGACGCTTACCAATGTATAGGTCTAATCCTTGATACCGTCCCTGATTTTGTTGTCTTTGCTGGCGCAGTCACTGCAGCTAGCATTGATATTGCATTTTTTTTATTTTTATTTTTATTTTTATTTTTATTTTTATTTTTGGCCGTCTCGACCTTGATCCTCGCGTGGAGCACCCGGCGAGAAGGCTTCAGTCGTAAAAATATCCGCTGGCCGATGGTCTGTGCTTGTTTGCGCAATATCACCAACGGGTTCAGTCTTCCGATAAAGCGTCATAGCTGCCACTGGTTTACTCTGTTGGCTTCCTACGAACGACTCGAGCCGAAATAGAGGTGGATATGAGGATCCTTGAGAGCATCCAATTCCGTTCTAGGAGCTTGCAGCGATCATCCAGGAGCCAAGATGATGTATAGATCATTGCCAAAGAACATACGCAATGATTGGTCCCACCTAGCTTATGTGGGTTTTCCTAGGCTCCTGAGCGCCTTTGCATTCCTCGCGATGTGTTTTGTCTTGTATCTAGTATCTAGAAGCCCCTAGCGACACCTTGATGATTATCTCTATCCAAGGACAGGCTCCGAACTTCGATATTTCACATGATACCCTACGTTCAGGGTGCGTCAATCAATCTCTGCCCCAAAAAAGAGCCAGGTATACAATGAGAGAGGACGTACATCAAATTTCTTCCTTTAGTTGGGAGGGTGCGCGTGCAAACAGTGACTGAAATGGGAGCGTCACAATTTCATCGACTTGTCTGTGCCACAATAACTGAAACATCACCTAAAATACCGCTCTCCTGAATAGGGGACATATTCACAGTGTACTCTTCACAGTTGAGGTTCGCCATATCAAACTGATTACGAGTCCGAGTCCATGGACCATTCCAATGCAGCGAGACTATTTGACCGTCGATATCGTGGTATAAATCCAAAGTGCCTTCGACCCCCACTCTGTAAGTTGCACTGCCACAGAATGATATTGTTCTGTTCTCATCATGTGGAATCATTATTTGATTCACGTCTTCGGGAGACAAAAGCTTAGCGATATCGCTCTTTTCGTACGGTTGACCACTTCCCGAGTAAAGTTAGTTCAATTCCAGTCTCTGAATGGTAATATTTCTCAAATACCAGGTTATGACGGTGTTCTTGATAACAATGTTGCCCTTTGGAAGATCGTTCTGGACGTTGATGGAAAGACGCTGTGTGACATGATGTTCCATCTTCGAGGATTTGAACTAATACTCTCAGGAAAATGTAGAGTGTACTTGTCAAAATAGAAACTCGCAATAAGAAAAAGTTTCAGAACTAATATACCCGTCCGAGTGCCTTTCGCCACCTGGCACGTTGGGTTCTGGGCTGTCTCTGCTTTCTGCGTTACGCGTAAGAGACATCAATATTCCAAGGAACTTAAAAGACCAGGCCAACCGTTCTGAAGGCCAAGCATCAATATCCAATGCGATCGTTAACTTTTTGACAATTCGATTGTGGGCCCACTTCGGTCATTTGACCAATCCACATTCTTCTATGCGCGATTAGTGCGTAAAATTATGTCATAGTTTACCAACAGGCCAACTTTGCGCCATGTCCCTGACATCGAGCAGTGCCAAGACCGCGCTAAAATCCGCGAAAATATCGCAGTCACGTGGCTGTATGGAGGTGACGGATATAATAATGGCGACGCTTTCGCCCCCACAAGGGATTAAAGCGTGCCTTTCTGCAGTAGCTCCTCCTTATCTGCCAAAGATGTCCGTTTGCCGGATTTCGTACGCCATTTGGCTTGCACTTTGTTACTTTGTGTCTCATTCGAATGCTATTCTCCGTACATACAACTTGACGGTGCATAATGACGTTAAAGCTCCGGGTACGTGGACCATGAGCGCCAAACATGGGACTTTCAGAGCTAATTCCTAAATAGATGGTGTCAGCCGCGAAGTCTTTCTAATCAATGGTCAGCTACCGGGGCCCCTAATCGAGGCAGACGAAGGCGACGATCTGGAAATCTTTGTCAAGAATGACCTCCCCGTTGATACTTCTCTTCACTGGCACGGTAAGTCACTTCCATGAGGAAACAGTTTTTTTAGAACCAGTGATCACTGATTGTGCCATAACAGGGATTTTGCAAAGGGGTAGTCCCGATATGGATGGAGTGCCTGGTGTCACGCAGGTCAGTCCTTAAATATTTGACGGTAATTTACATCCTTGTTGCTGATTCTAGACCATAGTATCCCATACCTCCTGGCGGTAACTTCACCTACAGATTCTCGATCAAAGATCAGTATGGCTTCTTCTGGTATCATTCCCACGTTAGAGCATACTACAATGACGGCATAAGAGGGCCACTCTTGATACGACCATCTCCCCAAAGACTGCGGCCATTTGAAAAGCTTGCTCATAGCCCACACGAGCGTGATATCATTCTGCAGACGGAGAGGGACGCTACATCCATTCTTTTGAGTGACTGGACACATGAACTTTCGGACACCATTTACGCTCGATACTTTGAGACAGGCGCTTTTCCAAATTGTGTCGACAGCATCCTTGCCAATGGATTCGGGAGGGTTGAGTGTTTACCGGAGTATATGCTCCAGGCAGGACCCAATATGGGATATGAAGATATGAACCAGCGTTCTTCATCAATGATGGCAATGTCAATGGCGAAACGAATGGACATGGACATGGACATGAGCACGGACGCATCCGCCACATCTTCTCAGATGTCAACAGGTACGATGGCTATGGATACGACCGTGGGTATGACTATGTCTAGCACTTCTATGTCCGCAATGCCGATGTCAGCTACAATGACGATGTCGGACATGTCACCGTCCATGACTTCATTGAGTCCCCGTGGCTGTATGCCGCCAATGATGTTTAGGCAAGGGTACAATGCCAGTTCACTCCCACCTGAGACCTGCACCAATACTTCGTCGTCCTTGCTCACCATCCCTGCGGATCACACGAGTGGTTGGCTCGCGCTGAATCTGGTCAACTCCGGTGCAGTCAGCAAGTTACATGTCTCTCTGGATGCACACTCTATGTTTGTCTATGCTGCCGACGGATTGTATGTGGAAATACAGGAGGTGAAGGTGAGCATACCTTTGAAGAGCATCCGTTATATCCCCCAGCCTGGGCTCACCACACGTCATTTTAGGTCCTGGAAATAGAGATCGGCCAACGGTACTCAGTGATGATTCGACTTGATCAGAAACCGGGGAATTACTATCTCAGATTCGCATCATACCCCAATGGTGACATGCAACAAGTGCTTGAAGGGCAAGCTATTGTGTCCTATAACGTAAGAAAATCGGCAAGCAAGTCGCGACCATATCATGCCCGTGCTGACTTTTCGTTTTCATTTTGCAGATGAGCATGATGAGCAGCAGAACCCCAATGAACGTCACGGTCGATCCCTCAACCATTTGGATGTTGACCAACGGATCAGCCAAACCTGATACCAGCGTACTTAATCCTCAGTTGCTTTCTCCCTTCGCGCCTGTCAACCCTCCCTCATCACCAGCAGATCAGACATACACTTTCACAATTAACCAGACCGACATTGTGACATGGGTAGTGAATGACGCCTCATACTCTGAGCCAAAAATACCAATCATCCAGGGCAACGTATCAGACGGTTGGCAGGCGAATACAACCATCCATGTGCCGTCTAACTCAACGATTGATATTATTATGAGAATTGCAAATGATTCGATGGATACGGTAAGTCTGTTAAATTAGTGATTCCAACGACCTTTCTATGATGTGGACAGCTGGAACTAATGGGAAATAAACTCACCGCAGATGAGCCATCCCATGCACCTACACGGCCACACTTTCTGGGTGCTTGGGTCCGGTACCGGCTCTTTCCCGTATGATTCCGCGACGGACGCCCCAGAATCCCTAATAAATCTTCGAAATCCTCCTTATCGTGACACAACTAATCTTCCTCCGTCAGGATGGGCCGTGATCCGGTAAATCACCTGAATAATCTACTGGCCAGACAATAGCTTACCTTTCTTAAAATCAGATATGTTTCGGATAATCCCGGCGCGTGGATCTTTCACTGCCATATCCAGTGGCACATGGTGGTGAGTACAAATGCTAGACGGTCGTATCCTGAATAATCTAATAATCTCGGTCTTGCTAACATTACATTCTTTTCCTTCGCAAGAGCGGCATGGCACTTGTCCTTGTTGAAGGGCAGGATCAATTTCCCGCCCTGATTGGTCAGTCTAATGGTACCACTACTGCTACGTCAGTGGCGCCGATGCGTCATATCAGCTCTCGTCAAACTGCTTTGACTGCTGCGGCTCTCAGTCTCATGATGTTGTGATGTGTCCTTTGATGCAGCAGATATCTCTTTTTCGCCGAGACTTTAAGACTGCCTGGGGCCGGCAGTTCAATATTACTACGCTGACCCCTATCGTGGGCGCGACGCCGATGCCCCGCTCTCACGCTGCCATTGTGGTGCATTATAAAATAAGTAATGCCAAAATCAGTCTTTCATTTATACATCTGCAAGTGCCGTCGCGGGGGTGTCATGACGCTCCCTATTCGCCACGCTGCCTATTTCCGATACTACATCCCGATCCTGCTATATAGCAGTGCCTACATAAACTACCTTACTATATAGCAGTTTCTACATAATGCCCTCTGCTATGTAATAGTTTCTATATAGTCCCCTCTGCCAGGGGGAGCAATAACTGATGCTGATGCTGATGGTGATCATAGAATTTCGTAGTCAATTTCTAAGATTCACCGGACTCTTATGGTCTCGGGATTTGGGAAGCAAGTGGGTCGATCCTGTAAGAACTTGAAACTACATTCTGTCCGCAACACCGTTTCCTGTCCTTTCTACCTTTACAATGGCCAAAACGTCCCGCGTACGACCATAATTTAATCATTAACCAATTGACGACACATCATGAATGATAGGGTGTGAAATTTTAAGAAACACTAAATTTCCCAGTGTAGCAAGGGTGTAGCAAGGCAGTTATTTCTGGTGGAAAAGTTAGTATATCCATGTGTAGATAGATATATGTGGAATGCTGAACTCACACCGCAGGCATTGCAAGTGCAATCCTTTGTGGAGCAAGTGCAGCTCTGGGGACCAGTGCAGGAACATGTGGATCCGCAGTTGCAGGCCATATTTGCAGGGTAATGGGTAGTGGTCGCTGAATGTATTGAATGATCTGAGAGGAATCTGATTGATGGTTTAATCACAAAAGGTCTGGGGACCTTGGGAGCCTTTATACTTTCAATGGGCAAGGTAAAAAAAATGATCGGAAACAGACGTCACCCGTAGTCATGAGTCTTGATTGAACTACTGTAGAGGGGCAAGGACTAACGTCATCATTACAGAAGAACAGTTGCGTCGCCCGCCAAAAGCATAGATAGGCCGTTTCTTTTCTTTGTTTAAAAGAAATAATTAGTTTATAACATTGTCAATTAAAGGGCAATAGTCAATCGATGTCGCTTAGGTGCGAATGCGCACCTGGCACCCTTTTGTTACCTGGAACACTCGGCTGATTTCCAAGCTTCGTACCCAAGCTTACCATACCTAGAATGACGGAAGTCCTACCCGGCTTGATGCAGCGTATCATTTTATATAGTATAGTGGTCTTGGATCCGCCGCATTCAAATGCTAGTGAGAAAGAAAGTATAACTACGGAGTATCTCTAGGGATGAAGATGGATTGGCAACGCCGGGTGAGTGGTCTGAAAGTCGAGGAATACAATGATATATAATATAATAGCACGTGACAGAATAATAACGTCATAGACCTTTGGCCGGGGGATTCATAGGAATTGCAGATCAGGTAGAAAATCCATCGAGTACTTGGAAAGACCTTCTGAGAACACGGGACTACCTCTTAAAATGCAATCAGGGGGCAAGGAACCGTATCCTGAAGTAGGGCCTTTCCGCACCTACCTAACCCTGGAACAAAGACGCTAATAATATTCCCTCAGTCATTGTCTGAAAGTGAGAAACGTCACTTGAGCAAGTACGGAAAGCGGCCGCGTGGAGGCTTACTAGGTGAAAAATTCAAGGTACTCAAAATGTGATTGATTGTGAGCGTGCTGACAATCGGAAGGAACGGACGTACTTTGACTCCGGCGACTTTGCTTTTTCCGCCGCTTATCGAGTGACCGATCTCGGCGCTATTCAAACAGGCGGAGCGCATCTCCACCGGGACAATATTTCGCACCCTTCTTCCCCTATCCCGGCTGCCGGCAACGTTGACAAGAAAGCCAACGAGGATTTGCATAGGAGGGATGCAAGTCCCAAAAGGAGTCTTTTCCATAGGCAAACGAATGAAGACCCCACAGACGAGGACAATCTCTTCTCTTTCGAAGATTGAAACCAAATCGTTATAGCAATATGAATCGAAATGTATTTCAGCAGAACAGCCAAACAGGGACAATACGACAATTCCTTCATTGTGAGGTGAAAGCTTATTGTGGGGAAAGCAGAGCCAGTCGACCAAAGTAGGTCCTCTGGAAATTCTCCAAGTATAGGCTTACGTCATCAAAGATATTGCAAGCCCCTTGATTGGATTGTGTGTTTTGCAGGGTCATGTTATGCTACTCCAAGGTGGAGAAAGGAGTGAGAGTGAACCAATCACCCATTATGTTGCCACCCCCAACAAACTAGCTCATTTGCACGGTCGCCCATAGGATCCATGGCTGTGAAGCACATTGTTTTCTGGGGCACGACGTGAGATATGGCTTTCGCATGCTGGTGCTACCCACTGGTCCGCTTCAGTCACGAAGTTCGCGGTATTTGATTGGAGAGTCCTTGCTTGACTCCCTAGTCCTGGACTGCCCAGTCTTCTCGGACCGCATAGTCGTGCTCGACACTCTAGTCGTGGCCGACACCCACGGTAATAGTTCTGTGACCATCAGAGGCACGATTGAGGGCAGTCTGGACCAGTTTCTCACTCTCTGTATCAGAGCACTGGTAGCTTCGTCAAGAAGCAGGAGCCGCGAATTGCGTATCAATGCACGGGAAATCGCGATCTTTTGCCTCTCACCGCCTGAAAGCCGCATTCCCAGAGCGCCACATGGAGTGTTGAGCCCATAGTGTGCCTAGACAGACACTGCTCACGACAGAGGGTACAGTACGTTTCAGAGATGAGGTAGTCAAGCTCCAGGGTCTCACAGGTGAAGCCTTTTTTGTCTGGGCAGCGCCGCAGATCCGTCCAACCTCTGTCATATCGTTCAACAGACAGCATCGTCAACAACGGCAGTATCCAAAAACCCTTCCACGGAGTTTCAAAGAGGATGGGCAACGGCTGTCCGTGTTCCTATCCAGATCCCTGCTGGACTTCTTCCTACATTTTGCAATGTGGCCAGGCATTACAGTATAATCACACGGGTGAATGCAGCAATGCATATACGAAGCGAATGGTTTTTTGAGGTCCCCGTCCAACTCATACATTCGCCGCAAAGAGGGTTCGATACAACAACAGCAGCATATAAGTTCGTTTCCTCCCCATCACATTCCCTGATATTCTAACACCTTCCATATAGTGACATCCTTGCTTCAGCTCCAAATAATGGCAAGGTCAGTTTCCCTTGCTATGGCTTTCACGTTGATATGTTGAATGATCTCTGGGGTTTTTGCAGCTTCCTGGTTATGTATAGTCGATAAGTCTGCTCTGTCCTCTACGGTTTAAGTACATGTCATATTGCCGTGTGTTCATAATAATGCTACGTACGAGATACGAGACGTACTGTAATAGCAGAATATCTTCATTGGAAATTGTGGATGTTACATATTCGTCTTCTTCTCTAGATTTACCATGCCAGAATGGCTTGCCTCATCCAGCCTGTGATTTGTCTCCGCGAGCTTCTTTTGTAACTGGTGAATATAGAGAGTAGCTGCCTCTACTATGGATACCCTGTCGCTATGTTCCGAGGGAAATCCGCCCGCAACCTCTTTGCTTTGGCTGTTTCCCTTAATGTCCTGGTGCAATGCACCTCCAGCTGCTTCGGGACATGCGCGGTGGGATATAACGTCCGATAAACCTTTGAGCGCCGTTTTCATGCGGTCTCTTCTAGCTTTTTCGGAAAGCTTGCGGTGCTGACGCTTTGCTGTAACGTCCGCCATCAATCCGTCAGGATAGGATAGTTCCACTTCTAGCGCGGACGTCTGAGCCATATGCTCGTAATTTGATTTGGAGACGAGAGCAGCAACTTGAGTTCGGATGGCAACTAACCGACGTGGGAGTTAGGATATGTTGACTAGTTTGTCTAGAATGAAACTTCCACCTTTTTGGTTCGGCTCTGCTCTGAGGGCTTTTGGTTGTATAGTTGGGAGTGACGTAGGATTGGTCTGCCTGTATCTCCGCTTCATATTGTTGGCTTGCTGATGCTGACTTCCCTTCTGCTTGGGGAAATAATCAGGATGGGAAGAAGAACTAGGTCGAATCTCTTCCTGACGATGTTCTCCCACTCTACTTTCGTGAGCCGAGGACGCTGTTAGGGATCAAGTACATACCGGCCGATTACTGTCTCATTTTTACCTTCGGGCATACCTTTCTCGTGCGACAGATGATGCCCCTCAGTTAAAATGGCCCTCAACGGCGGAAGCGTCAAAAACGAGACGGAACTTGTTCTATCAACGTCTTTATCTTCAGTGTCTTTCTGCAGAGCTAGTCGATTCTTGGTTTTTGACGATGACTGTTCAATTGATGCTGAGTGATTCATTGTAAAAGGAGAAGAGCACTTTCAATGGATCCGCGGAAGTCGGATTGGATTGAAGGATCTAGACCTGAACAGTGCCGGGAAAAGTCAACAACGTAACTACACTCTCTGAAAATGCCCTGGAAGCTCCAGAATTATGGGGTTATAAACCCCTCAGCTTAGTAGCTCGCGTGACCGAACATAAATATCTGCGTTTTCGCATTGGCTCGATTGTAAAGCCCAACCAGGGTTATTACAGTGACGCCGTGCTATCTCCCTCGGTTATGGTATACTCTTGTGGCATCTGTCCCAGGGTGCATGTTGCCCGACGAAATATGATCCAATCATGATGCGGGAGTGAGTCACTATACCACCCTCCGTTTGTGTTCACCCTATCCACTGACTTGCCGTGATGAATGCACGCGGCATAAGCGTCGCACTCAGCGCAAATGGAATAAACGTGGTCACTAGACTGGCTGCCCTAGTACCCAAAGTTATTTTTTGGCAATCAGTGACAACCAAAAGGCTGGCGAGTGGCCACACCAAACAACATACCTTCGAAACCTAATGAGTATCTGGAATTATGAGACTTCACTATTTGATGCGTACATTTACATTCCGCACATACTGGGCTCAGAAGAATTTC